TATATAGACGTTTAACGGACGCACTTACTCAAAGCCACATCTGGCACTCGCCTGCAACTGGACAAGACTGTGAAGATCAGACAGTACGAACCATTATAAGTCTATAATAAATACATAAGAAACGAAGATGACGTAAGGAAGGTTCGTGCACGAAATCGAGGTTGTTTTACACTGCCATGAGAACTCAACACATTAAAAAACTCAAATCATCATTGGATTTTCGGAGAAAGATTACCTTTTAGTCACCAACTGCCGTAGACGTCTTCAATACGAATTGATCGCCGGTTGTGGTATCTAGTTGAACCTGTACTGAGCTGAATTGAACTGGCTAAAATATACACCAGCTTCGTATGAGTTGGTTTAAGTTTATACATCCATATATGTGTGAGTCAGACAGGATCGCTAACCGTTAAAATACGGCGCCACGATAATACAAAGCAGAAAGTAAATTTCTTTTTGCCGTCCTTCCACTCCACAATTGTGAACATTCTCACAAATAGCAAATCAGTTGCCGTTCAATGTCAAGGAACACGGGCATGCCCTTCTTTTTATATCTATTGCCACGATTGCTTTTAATCGAGTCCAAGCACGCATTTGACCTTTTTAATTTTTATCGCATTATTTGTTGTTTCTTGCACAATCCAATCGAAATTTGATTTGATTTAAAACCGATAGCCACACATAAGGATGCAACCTGTATCCTTTCCCAATATGCCTTTGCCATTACTAACTATTATTTTATCATGTATCGTGTGGCCTTTTCGTGTCGAGATATATGTACAGAGAAAAGCATGTAGCGGACAAATTGGTTATTTGGTATTTCATGTCATCATTGTGTAACCTCGAAAATTCTGAAAAACCTCCGCATCGACCTGTTAACGCCGATAGCAGTGCTACATTCATGATTGAATTGGGATGGGCCGCACTAGACTGATTCGTTACCTTAACGTAAGTTATAAGCGGCATGAGTCTAGTAGCGGGTAGGTGTCGAGCAGCCTAATTTTGGGTCAACACTTTTAGGTTTTTCGACGGTCACCGCATAGCTGATTGAGCCGAGCACAAATCCTGGCAGCTGCACCGATTGTAACGTTCATTAATGACATATGTTCGGATTTAAGGAAAAGCAAAGCTTCTCCATCGATGTCTTGCGAGCGAAATTCGTCTGCGTAAGCAGCGCAGCCTGGTACGCTTTTGATGAAATCGTATACCTCTTGAACGCTCCAGTTACATGGCAAATTAGGTTCCGCAGGTTTGTCGGCGATGGAGGGTTTAGGTTCGACTGTAGGAGTCTCATTGGCAGCTGTATTTTCTGGTACCGTCTGAGTCGTCTGAGGTTGTGCAGCAGTGCCTCCAACAGCTGATGTAGCGGTTGCCTGAAATAGCAGAAAAGCAGGTTCAGATCTTGGTGCAGGTTAGCACTACAATTCATATTAGAAGGAATTTTTTGTGCGCGATAATTTACCATCAAATAAGTAAGGTTCTTCATCAAATAAGTACCGGATTGTTGCAATAACTATGTACCTAAAAGCAACTAAAGTTGTCTATAAACACATGTCAATTACTGGAAGTGTGGTTAATTGTTTCTTAGCTCGATAGGTTGAAGAGCTTCCTGTGATATAGCGTATTAGACGTTCTTGTATAGTATCTCAACCACTGTTTACCTTCAAGAAAACGTGATGTTTTAACGGGTATCTGTCAGAGAGCCTTCTGGCGGATACCTAAACATCATGCCTCGTGGCATATATACAATTAACGATGTAATCGCATGATATACTTTAGTTTTATCAAATAACCTACCTGAGACTGTATAGCTTCTGTAGACTCAACTGTGTTGCACTTTTCTACTGTTGTCTTGCCCGCCGGAGCTGAAATGCCGTCATCGGTTGTCACACTTTTCGATGCGGCAGGTGTTATTGCCGGTGCTAACGCAGTTGGTGCCCTGTTTACGTTGCTGTTGTTTTCAAGCTTACGTTTACGTTCTTTACTGAGGGCGGCGGAGGCTTGCTCACGACGAATCATCTCACTGAGAAGAGCGCTTCGGCTCACGGGGAAAGGCTCTGAACTTTCACGGATCACGTAGCCCTCGATGATATGCGTGAGAATCTCGGACGCTTGCTCAAGAGTGTCCGGTACTGGTCCAACATCCTCTGGGAATGGCGCACCGATAGGTGGCGACATCGAATTTCCTTGCGGTCCATCTGATCGGTCTGGCAGTGATGTCTGGCGACGTGGATAGAGGCGATATCATATCAGTCATCTCTTATCATGCGATATCACGTAATTCCTTTTTATTGAATGAAGAAATATGATTGATATGTAACCACGACATAATATTACCATGGGAACAGCAGCAGCAATTGGTTGTGAAACGAGTTCAAGCGGGGGCACCGTGGCAACAGGTGGTAATGACGCGTGTGGGGGTTGAGATCGTTCTTTGGCCTGTTCCAATCCCATAGGAGTTACTGCAGCTGATGAGGCAACAGGGGTTGTATTATGGGTTTGCTGAAATATCAAGCATACAACGTTAGTATTTTTGCTATTCTTTTTTTCTCTGCGGCAGTAGATTAAATCAAAACGAGCACTACTTTTAGTCTAATATTGAAATTTTAAATACATACTTAATTACTAGAACTACTCCATATGGCCGAAAGCAGATCACCAAGCAGCCAAGTGTCAGGATGAAGAAAAAGATTGTTAATTTGAAAGAAAACATTTGACAAAGTAAGTGAAAAAGGAAAGTCAGCCAGTTTTCGATTGATTCGAAAAAGTTCCGTAATATTGTACCATAGGACTACTGGCAGTTACAGGCGGTTTGGGGGCAGGCATTCTCATATCGGTGCCCTTCTGTTCAGATGTATGAACAACGGTTGGAGCTACAGCGACGGTGAGCTTCGCGTCTGCAGCATCCTCTAGCTTCGCTGTTTGTGGTATAGGTGCCACTGCAGCACTTGGGGTGGTCGTGGGTACTTGCTGACTAACTGGCGCTCCATCAGCTGCAGTTATCGTAGGCGTCTCTACAGAAGGTTGCGGCCGGATGGCGATGCCCCGAAGGCCACGAGGGCCAGCCTGTACTTTCGGCCCGACATTTGCTTGTTGAGACTAATTGCAGCGAGAGGGACAAATTGCAACACAAAAAATTATAATATATGTAGCATGGAAGTAATCGAGTTGAACTATTCTCGTTACAGACTGAAGGGTTAATGGTTTCTTCTCGAGCTGTGTACTCGAAAAAATAATTATTATATCGTTTACCACCTACCGCGATAGGCCGAACTAGTCGCGGAGCTCCGGCTGCCTGCATCGAAGTCGGAATCGCCGTCAAAAGTTGGCCATTGGTCTGAACCTGAGATATACCAAAAAATGTAATAAATATTATATTTTTAGCAAATATGCTTAGATAAAATCAAGTTGCCAATCACCTATTTCCAAATAAATAAATTACACAGTGTGTCCAGGGTAATTATCAATGTAGGTATTTTCTCACATTTGTACCTGCGAACAAGAATCGCTGACCTTTCACTGATTTTACGTCGTCCACTTAATTTTATGTAGAGTTAAAGGTCCACATTGGTATATGACACATATCATCACATTGTAAGTACCCTATTCAATTAAACGTAAGACTAGCTTAGCGCTATCGCAATTTAGTAAGCGCTTACGTCAGCACTTTTTGCGTTGGAAAACCACCATCGAACACCCAAGCAATGAAAAAACCACTGTTAACGCTATCAATCCAGTCTCACTCTCTCAACTAAATAAAGACTCCCCAAAAACTGACAAGTTGCGCGCACTACCACTTGAACCTGCTCAGACGAGGTCAAGGCTTTCTTGAAACCTTTGAGGAGAAGTGTCTCCTTGCAAAGTATATCTTTCGGAGAGCCACGAACTCCGGTCATTTTACCAATTGGAAGTTGTGTTCCCGCGTATTTAATAAACACGCGCTCTTCTACCAAAAAAATGAGAGATAGCCCTATGCTAACGCCGATAAGGCGCAAACCACCGAAGAATCTCGTAAACACTAGGGAATTTCTTTTGGCGCTCAGTCATAAGAGGATTTTAATAGTGACGAAACATACTAGCCTTTTAACTGTAAACGAAGCCGATAATGTGCGTATTTTGCTTTAAGATTTTCCAGTAATTGTTTAGGTAACAGGTGCAGAATATCCCCATTAAATCAAGACAGTGCGAAAAATTTGATGCGCAGATTACTCTAAAACGAACGTCAGATCGCTATATAGATTTGTTTCTCCATTTAAGCAGACGTCCACTTAGCCGGGAATCCACACCAGACGAAACCAGCTTCCCTGTGTTGACAGTAAGATGGGTGAGCTTAAGAGGGATTCCTTCTTTTCGACAACAGTATTAATATTGCCAACGACGCGACTGAATTTGCCTCAAAATTTGCTTTCAACCGGCTCCTACAGTATGCCCTTTAGGCCAGACGCTACAAAAAAACTTATTCAATCACACACGAGCATATTGCGCTTTGTCAAAAAGAGTTAATAAGATGAAGTCCTTGAGAACTAGAACTCAGTGCTACATATGTAGGTCCATTCATGGTGGATCTCTAACACTACTTTCCAATAATTTGGCCAAGAAAGGTATATGCTATTTGCGAACAATTTTTTATAGGACGCGTATCTAGGTGTAATCAGCACTTTAAATTGGACATTTGCAACGGGTGGGGTCCGACCCTGTTAAATAGGGATGACATTAGTATATTTGTGCAGGTCAGTGCAGTTACCGTATAAGAAGAGCTCTAATCAGTGGCGCAGCAACGTCCTCTCAGTTCCCGACCACAACTTGACCATCAGCTAGTATTGATCATGCACTCGTCTATTAAGCCCATCAAGAAGTCATGAAATTCAACCACCCGTATTACGCACATATCCATTCCATCCTTTCTATGGGAAAAATTCCTATAATTTCTAAAAGAAAATGTCACAACTGAAACTAACACCTGGAAAAAGAGTAAGTTGTCCGAAAAAGGACGTACTGCAGGAGGAACGCACTTGACCACCTTTTTTGTCAGATTTTAAAATCTGATATACTGTATCTTGAACCTTCTCCACTGACTTTAATGTTCCACTACTTCGGTTGTCCCTGGCCTGTCACTTGGATGTTCCAAAGCGCTTCTATGAGACTGCACCTCGACCAGCACCTGTATACTTGCAAGAACCCGCTCTGCTAATTTGTGGACGTTTCATGTTAAAAACACAAGTTTCAAATTCCTTCACTCCAGACCATAATGCTTCGCTAATTGTCCAGGCGGCAATCTCCAGTCCGTTACGGGCCTTGCAGCTAATAAAACTTTTTGTAGACTTTAGACTTTTTTGCGCTTCGTCGTAGCAGATTGCGCCTTTTTCCGTTTTGAACATTGCTCAAATATCCCTACCCATTCCACAGTAAGAAAATCAGACAGTTAAACAAGACTTAACTGGTTGAGTTGTATCACCTATAGCGAGTGCATAGAGCCCTCTCGTTCTACTTTTATGTGAATAAAAAAACTTAAAAGTTACTTTTTACAAATGTGTTAGTGCATGTTGATCTAATAGTTCTTGCTGTGCAAGTAATAACAACATGCCACTGCATGAAATATTTGCAGCTCTTTATTACATCTATGCCCCTTTGTAATTGAAATTGGTAAGACTACGGCTCTTGAAATAAGTGCATATTCTAACTGGAAGGTCAACGAGCGTTGTTGATGTGAAAAAAAAAACAAAAGGTGAAAACTAACCGATATGTGTTGCCCTGTATGAAAAAGCGTTTCGGGTTGCATAAGAGCTGTTGGCTGTTGCTGTAAACTAGCTGAGATTGTCGTCGGTGTTTGTTGTGCTGTTGACTGAGTAGGCGGGCCTGTTTGACTAAGTTGTTGTAATTGTTGTTGCTGCTGTTGTTGCTGCTGCGTTTGCGGCTGCTGTTGCTGCTGCTGCGCCTGCTGAGTTCGTTGAAGACTCTGTTGAAGAGCGGTCCGAAGTTGAGACTGCGCGTCCTGCTGCGGCTGTTGCTGCGCCTGCTGTTGTGGTTGCTGTTGCTGTGAAGGCTGCTGTTGTTGTGATTGATTTTGTTGTTGTTGCTGCTGCTGCTGTTGCTGCTGCTGTTGTTGTTGTTGCTGCTGTTGCACCTGTGCTTGCATCAGCGTTGGCACAGGACCGGCGTGAACTACAGTTGGCAGGACACCCGTTGGCATTTGGTGGACCGTAGCTACGCCAGCAGGCCCACTGAGCTGCTGGATAATAAAAGCACAATAGCATTAGTACTAACAATCATTTGATATGATATTTAAAACCGTTAAGGTTGTATTATTATATGTTATTCGATCATGTGTAAATTTACCTACATACTGTCTGCCGGTCTCTTTATGAGCTCGTAAATCTCAATAATAGAGGTCTTAGTAGCCTATTTATAATCTGGTCAAGTTTTATAAAAGACTTGTTCGGCACTTCTTGAAATTTCCGAAAGGTTTCGGTTGAACCTTTCAGTTTCCAAAAAGACGAATTTTCCACATTTTTTCCACTGAAGGCTAAACTATTATTATTATTATTATTCTTGCCGGTATTATTCTTGCTGAAACAGTTAATGATTAGTAAAATACTTCCGTGTATAAATCGGAAAACCATCGACCGCGATATCACATCGAGAAAATTGTAATGAGATGTAGGCATGACAGAGACGTTTCAGCGTGAGTACACGGGGTAATGGGATGATGACAACCTAATAGTAGGTCTGCTTCCGAACTATAATTTGATCTAGGTAAAATCCCAACACTAGACTACTATTTAGCAAGGCCAGGGGTTAATTTTAGATCTGGTGGAGTAAAATCTGTTTCGATTAATATTGGCAGGCATAATAGACTATGATTTTAAGTTTAAGGTTTTTTAAACCTACAAATGTAAGAGTGGGCTTACTGTCATCGAGCTACAGGTTAGATCGCATATAATCAATCAACTGCGCCAAAAAAACAGGTTCACTGGGACAAGTTAAGCGGTTGACTAAAATAGGTAAGTGGAAATAATTAATAACTGTAACCGACATCTGGCCGATAATCATGGCCCCAAAGGTTTGCATTCGAACCCCACCTTCTATTAGGCCAACACGAATAAAATAATTATTATTATAATAGGCCATTGAAACAACAGCAAAGTAAGTATTAGAGTTCTTCGAATGAGCCCGGTGGACAGTTAAATAGTAAGAGCAGAGTAACTGCAGCGCCATAACTGTTCGCATGTGCCTGGGCTATATTTCATGTTAAGGGAGGCGTCCGCCAGTGATTCAGATTAGTTGAACGAACAGTAAATCGGACGAGGGGCCAGGCCATTTTGCTAATAAATTCTATATTTGACTGTTAAGAATCGAGCCCTTTTCAGAACTTACCGGTGCTGCGGTAGTCTGTAACTGTTGGGCTTGAACCTGAACAGGTGTCGTGCTCGCCGTCTGTTGCAGCTGATGCTGCTGCTGCGGTTGTTGCTGTTGTATATAGACACTACCATCGTGTTGATTTCGTATGAGGATGGATGGCTGCAGAATAGGCTGCCCGGAAAGTGGTCCCGTCCACGAAATGCCTGGCCCGAATGCGTTGAGCGTCTGCAAGGGACCGAGAATCGTTTGCGCTTGGCCGATTACGGGCTGGCCAACTGTACCCACCTGGCCTACGCCAACCTGACTGGCCACCAGTTGCTGGCCAGTTGTAGAATTGATTTGTCGATATTGAGCCCCTGGAGGAAGTCCGGCTAACTGCAACTGCGGCTGCTGCGGAGCTGTAGCAGTCTTTTGCTGTTGTTGACCAGCCGGTATGAACTTGTGGGCGGTTTGCGGCTGTGGGCTCGGACCAGTTTTGGTGATTGGACCTTGAGCTGTCTGAGTCGCCTGAAGTACACCACCCGCACTACCAACCATACCCCCCTGTGCATTGGTGATGGTCATACCCAAAGGACTGAAGACGAGGGCTTGTCCGTTGGCGCCAGATTGAGTCACGAATTGAGTCTGGGGCGCTACGTTGGTGACAATCTGTCCAGCTGTTTGTTGGGCACTGCCCTTATGAGCCGCGGTCATTCCCGCCACAATTCCACCGGCCATGGTCATTTTGCCTGCCACATTCGTTACCGCACCACCTTGACTTGTCATCACCTGAACACCCTTGTTCGGCTGACCTGCTGCCATGCCAGCTATTACTGGTTTACCTTGACTGTCTTGAGCCATTTTCTGCGGCGTTCCCTGAGCCTGAGGCTGAGTTCCCGGTCCCGTCATTACAGTAATTTGACCTTGACTCAGTTGTTGCTGTATCGTTAGGCCACCGGCCGGTGATAACAGCACTTGCTGTTGACCGGCAGCTGTCGCTTGGTAAATAGGTTGAATGTAGCCGGCGTGGTTGAGGGTGCCCTGCTGTAACACCGACACCTGCGAAGGAAACTGAAATTGTTGCAAATCGGTGATAGACAAAAAGGAAAAAGATCCCCTGTTAATGTTTCTTCACAAGTAAATGGAAAAAGGTAGTAAAAAAAAATAGCGCCGACCAGAGTGATAGCTAAAACTCCTTTAAACTGCTAGCTTTCCAAACGGCTGTAAAACATCATATCAGATGTAGGAACTCACAAGAGAAATTTATTAAAACCTGTATTCATACTGGTGTATGCATTTAAAAAAGTTTTTAATAAAATTCATTATCTAACTTTCTCAGTAATTGAATGTGGGAAAACCCAATCACAAGCAGTTTCGATCGTAGCGACCACCTATACACATAAGCGTGTTTCAGTTCTTTCGAAGTTTGTAAATTTATACTAGCCGCTAGCTGCTTCTTACCTGCAGTGTGGTGCCCCCTTGAGCCATCGTTTGGAGAACTGTTGGTGACTGGGGCATAACGGTACCAACCGACGTTACACACTGCGGAAATTGAATCGTTGCAGCTGTTGGCGGCGCAGGCGAAGAGTTCATATGGGGGCTAGCCTCGTGAGGAGGCGTGGAGACGGCCATCTACCATTAAACGAAAAGAACGACCATATTAGGTTAAATCGTGCCAATGATTATATACTTGAATGAATGTTTGTCAACAGTGAAACATCTCTATTACATGTACATCCATAGTACAAGCAGCATGTGCCTGCAAGCATGTCAGAGCAGCATTACGCTGATGCGGATAAAGGCAAGCCCTTTTCTGATATCTTGCTATCAAACTAATTATAGTTACAGTCACATGAGAGAGCGAAGATGCACCTGTTGTTGAGGTGTCGATGCTGATGAGGCTGGGGATCCAGGCGGTGCCATTGCTTGATGGTTGTGCGTGACACCCATTGCTGGCTGAGATAATACTGTAATGTGGAGGTATACATTGACACATTCAAGGCATAGTCGGTACTTTATCGAATTAACATACCAGCTATTCAGAAAAATTTGGTAAGATAATAAGGTACTGGTTTATCTGTTTTCTTCAAATCTACCGACGGCCACGTATTTAGAACAGAGCGTAAAATGAGCTTGTAACAATTGGAGGAATCATGGGACACTCTGGTACTCCCTAGTTGTGTCGCTTACCGTATCCAGTCGGCGCTGAACTTGCAATTGGAACGTTCATTGTTGAGAGTTCAACTTCCTGAAATAGCAATCGTACTGTAAGATATATGTATATGTATATGGAATAACCGGTTTATAGTTTTGTTAATGTTACGCCAAACATTTAATTGGCCCGTGTTTAGCGTCAAAAAATGATTCCGGAGCATGAAGAACTGTTTAGACTACTATTATGCCCTGCTAGTGAATCATTCCAGCATTATGGTAAAATATCATAATGTGATACGCTGGCCGCTTTGTACGTTATCCATGCGTGCATGCTCGTTTACAAAGTTTTATGCCACAGAAATCGTTAGACAGGTATCTTTTGCATTGACTAGAATATTCGTAATTGATCAATCATCGCTGAAATTTCACAAATAGATAAGCTTGCAACTACATATAGATACTATGAAAAATTTCCGTTGCCCAAAGGAAGAGCACCTTTTTAGTAATTTTGCTGCGAGTTATTCTTCTTTGCCTTGCGGAAGGGCAGACTAAAACATCAAGATCGAATTCTGTATAAAAAAAAAAATGTTAAAATAAACCGAATAACGGCGAGTTGATGTGCACCACCCGTATATTGAGTATAGTTAAAGCTCGTTTTCCATAAACGCACAAATTTGAACTGTACTGCTTTCGTACATTTTTTCCATTCAAAACGACTCTGAAGAATATTATAGATACTTTTCAGGCATAGAAAACTGATAAAGGCAATATGCGTAATAAAGCGGAGAGTAACTCAAATTTCTTTAACTTATTTCTAATTAGTAGCTTAACACCTTCTGGTAGATTTTATATTCGGAGTAACGAAAGATTATTATTGCGATGACTGTCTATACAAGTGTGTACATAAATACACTGGCATTGTCTGATTCAAGCAAGCTAACAGAGAGAACTATTACATCCATAGTTGATGTAACGTGAATCTAGCTTTGTTCGTAATATTTAGATACGCTTATTTACCACTAGATTTGTACGGTAAAAATTACCTTGTATAACAGATCCTGAACGATATCTTGCCTATTCAGTTACACAAAACGCGCTACTCTATACAGTTGTCGAAGATTGTCGGAGGAGCAGTTCATCGATCCAATTTTTCAAGTATCGCCATTCCAGAGGAAAATTTCTCGTCAATCCCTGACCATTTATTTAGTAATTAGATCATTCACATAAAACATTCAGACACACATCCATAAGTGCAATCCGGCTCTCGGTTGACACAAACCGAGCAAAGCTTCTCACTTTAAACCTACGATTTAAACTCGAATGTAATCTTCACTTCATATTTTAACAGTGAGAATTGTATCCTTTTTCTACTTCTGATTTCCATTTCCGATTGATAGCCTACGTATTGTTTTGAGACTGGCATTTGGCTAATCGTACTGTTTTATTTCAATTACAGATCTTGTTTGATAAAGCAAGTTCTGTCATAACCGATGATACCTCTTCCACGTAATAAAACTATTAGTTTTTCCGTTGGACTTTTTTTAATCGTACACAAACGTTCCAAATATCCTTTGATTATGACGAATTCGGTACAATAAAAAGTGTTTATTAAAACCTGTGAGTATGATTAAAAATGATGAGATATTATTGAGTGTTTGTTGACAAGGATCTATCTGTTTTGCACCGTCCTGCCTTTCCCTCTGTCATTTCGCCATCGCCACCGTATTCCTTCTCCATCACCAGTCCTGTCTACTGCTGGCGTCTCGACTGCAGCTCCCTCTAGCTTAGGTTACTAGATACTAAAAGGTCCTTTGGTTCATCTTCAATTTTTCTTAACCGGGGGGGACTTCTGTTGCCGAAGACTCTTGTGTAAAGATGTTGAAACGCGGACTAAGAGCTATTATTAGCGTAGGCCACACGCAAACGACTCGAAAACGCGGAGCTTATTCATTAACAAAAGCTCTTACAGTTGCTGCGGAACTTGAAGCCGCCAAATTTAATTGTTGGATTGTCCGTTCTCAGTTCAATAAGCGCACATTAGAGTGTTACTGAGGTGCGTTTATTGCGGATCATCAGTTGTTTTAACTGCGTAATATTATCTGAATAAAGCAGCAGCTTAATGCTTGACAATGAGGTTAACCATTATAGGTTATTTTTCTGTTAGACCAGACACTGCATGCATTAGCAAGCGCATGTTTATGTGGATTTGCAAGAGACTAGCGTTCCGACTAGCATTCTTATCCCCTTTTTTATTACTCTTTTTGCGTACTGAGCGCTGCTATTGTGCCGTGAGATAGCCATCTACATATAAGGCTTCTAAGATAGAAAGTAGACATTTTCTTCTATCAGCTTATAATACAGTCAAATAAAGATCGATATTGATTTGGATTGAATTGAGGACTGAGAAAAAAATTTAGTCTTTGTGAATAGTGGTTTCAACGGCAACCGTCAAGGCTAAAGGGCACAGCTGGACCAATAAGATGGACCTTCGCTCTGGTAGTGCCGGTCGTACGTAAACTGTATTTACTCAGACCCCTTTTAAAAGACTTCTAAGATACTGTATGTCGTCCCTAACGCTGTAACATAGCTCTAAGGGTCTGGTCTAACGAACCTGTATATAAAATAATTTTCCAACATCAAAGTATATTTATATGCAGGCAAATGCAATATTGTACAATACTTCCGTTCATTCTTTGCATTTCGTAAGGCAGTATCACATTGACTTTCGAATAATCCGCCGATGGTGCGGGCGCCCTCGCCCTCTCCGCAACCCCCCTCCCAATCCGCAGGCTTTGCTTTTTCTCTGCTGCGTGTTGTTATCAATGTTGTTGTTTCCCGCTGTTAGTGTCGATGTTGCTGATTTAGTCTGTGCGTGTGTGTCTGCTGTTAGTGTCCTAGTGATGATCTGTAGGCGCTAATGTCGTCAGTACGTCCGGCAGCGGCTAGTGACTGAGTGAGTGGCTCGCGGTGTAGACGAAACCAGTCTGGTTAGTACGTACAGTTCGTGCCGTCTTCTTTGTTTATTGATTCGAATAACGAACTCATACGTGGTTGATCCGTTGTTCGGAGCGTCTCGCTGTGATCTGTCTGTGCGTGTGTAAAAATAATACGATAGGCAACGAGTTGATTGACAACATAGAGCCTGTATCGTCAAAGCGTTTCAAACGACTATTCGTGAGCTGGTCTTGACCTAAACCAGCTGTTTCAACGGGGCTGACTCCTGGGCGTTAGCTTACTGGTGGGTAGCCAATGAATAATTGTTCTAGTAAATGTTTCTTACCGGGTTCGGCTTATGGCTGGTTATGTAGTGGTGGGCAGAATTCAATCAATCTATCAAACCTAGGCAGTGTTGCGACGGACACGAAACTCTTGACATACTAAAGTATTTTAGTACGTAAAACGGTTTGGTGTGGTGTATAGGAAAATGGGAAACTTGGCAAAACGTGTTTAATACTGCATCCTGGTATCTTATGGCATCGGGCATATTTTTTTTTTATAGCAGCAAACTGATTAAATAAAAAAAGGCCATTTTTGCAATTAAGTAGTGAAGATCTTCAAAGAAGTGAAAAATTCGTTCCAGATATCCTTTTTTCTATCAGCAAGGTTACAAAATACAACGACAACGTGCTAACGTTAGCCAAGAAAACTACCCTAGCTTACGAAGTGTTGACCATAACCCTGATTGAAAGCTAACGATGACACCTGTATTAAATACATACTAAATCGATATGATGATATATGAGCATTTCAAGGTCAGAATGCGTACATTTGTGAATTTATCTAATCCTGGAAGCAAACAGCAAATAATCTGCTCTCGCCAACACTGCAAAAAAGGCCATCCAATTATGCTTTGCCTGTTGTTATAATCAGTTATGCATCCCTCATTGTTTTGATGATATTCCAACTCATGTATGGTGGCCTAAGGACTCGCGTACGTAGCATGATGTTCATGTTTTTTTATATATCAACACTATAAATGCAGAAGTTAAAATGCGATTTGAAATCGAAGATACCGAGAGAGTCAAATATTAAGAGAAACAGGAGTGCAACTATAATTACGATCTCCGATTATATTTATAGAAAAATTACTGATGCGATAGTTGTTCAAGTGCGTTATGATATGAAATGTGATGGACAATAAGGAAGCACTTTGTAAAATAAGCTTACGCGAGCTTTATTGAAGTATGAAAATTTAATTTTCTCTGAAGCAAAGTTTAATTAAACAGCCAGATAATGATACAGCACCCACACAAACGCATAAGAACGACATCGTTTTGATTTTGTTCTTGCTGCTTATTCCGTGCGCCTAATAACCCGAATGATATGGAGTTCTTTCAAAAAATGCTTAACATGCCGAATTTAGGAAAAGCTCATATGAAAATATTCTAGCATTAATTTCACCAAACGGATCTAGGCTTTACAGCCATACAATGTTCGGGCAATCAAAAAGAGAACGAAATCCTTAGTTTACTCTTATAGATATCCTACGAGAGTTCCCATCGTGGGGTGAAGTGTTGGACTCAGGAGCCACCGACCCTTGGTACTTGATACGTATGTACTTTTGTATAAATGAGCTGTGCCGAGCTGAATGGAAAGAAATGTGAAAAGCTGCTTACTCTGTCATCTGCGCATTTACCAAAATTACTCATCACCAGCTCTATAGCAGTTTGTATTGTCCGCTTTAACGGGGAGAAGGGAAGATTTGCCTTGGTAACCAACTGTATCAAGCTTACGTCTTTTTTCGAGTACTGCAATGTATGCAAGCCTATATAACTGCTCATAGCGCGGGTGGAATAATTTTTTTTATTTTTTAAAAATACGAGTAAGAGTATACTTAGGTGGTGTGAGATTTGTCTTTCGATATCAGGATTTGTTAGCCCAGTAGTTACCTGGTGTTTTCACATTGTATAACGGTAATGGGGATGAAGTAACTATATGATGATGACGTGCTGTCTATCGCCGCGTAAATCCATTCTGTTGATATTACCTCCATACAGAGAGGTTGCAAAGACTGATATTGGTAGAAAAAGAAGCCGAACAAGTCCTTAGTTCCGTGGCGTATGCGCTTAGGATTTGGCTATACAGAAATCTGATTCTTAATAATTCAATGAAGAGGCATCACAACTTTTCTCTCTGTTAAAGTGTTGTATTTACATTACACAGGGTGTAATAAGGCATTGATAAGAGATCACCCCTTTAGATTCCTCCAATACAATTATAATTAATGTTGCTATAAAGTTATAAAGACTATTTGTAATTGAGGAAATTAAAACAATTGAATATCTGAATCAGTCGCTTACTACATTTTGTCTGAGATATATTAAATGTCTGTTTTTAAATTAAGCTAAAATATATATCGTGTCTTCTATAGAATCATTTCGTTATGGATTCAGCTTAAATTAAATTAAGGCAGGACAGATGAGATGCTGTTAATCCAACATCTCATTTCAGCAATGAATTTAGAATTTATTTATTTTATGGGAAGTTGTACTATTAAACTAATGACAAAATGTGGTTATATATCCATTATAATTGTAGACCTAAGTCTCTGTATAGCTATCATGTGTCCTTTCTAACAAGCACGGAGTTTCATGGAGTTAATTTTTTATCGCAGTTATGTCTTAGTATTTGTTGTTGGTATTATTATTATTAATATTAGTGGAAATATCCCAGGCGTTTGTTAGGAGAACTTAGGCAAGTACTTGCAACTTTAATTCTTTCTCTGGTTCCTTTGTACTTTCCGGCTGATTTATAACGCATACAATATCATTATTTCTCCGACTTATATGTGATTCGATTTATTATGAAAAATGCAAGTTTAGAAAAATGTGTGCAGCCTGAATGTCATCTGATCACACTTGATCTGCTCATGCGATTTTACAGAAAATGCAAACGAGTTCTGGCCAGCGCCCCCGAAATGGCGGGCGTACATCAGATCGTCCTCGAGGGTTTGGGGGAGGCGGAGTTAATCGAGGTGAGGGCGGTGGCAGAGGTGAAAACGGCGGTAGGGATGAAGTAACCTATAGTAGATTTGAAGGGACAATTGGCCGAGGGTTCCGAAACGAAGGCGCCCATTCCAGGGCGGGAGGTAGTGGAGGATGCGGCGGTGAAAAAGGAGATCGAAGGCGATTATCACCGTCTTCTAGACAACAGGGAGCTCCTGGAGAAGGCCGAGGGCCTCCTAGAATGAAGACGTTGCCCATTGTGGACACGGGCGGAGAGAATACAACATCCGCTGTAAACGAATGCGTCGTTTGTTGCCGTGAAATTTTGGTGTATGCCGTCGGTTCCTGCGACCACAGCGTATGCTACGTCTGTTCGACAAGGTTAATACCGTAATACTATATCATTGCTCATATTCTTTGAAGCTTTTCTAGGTTAGTTTGGATGCGATATTAAAGAATAGTGCGCTGATAAATGCGGCAAATGAAAATAATGCCAATAACCCTCAGCAATAATTATATGTATATGCAAAAACAATCCAGTATGTAAGTTCGAGTTGGCGGGACAGGATAGTGATTCGTTATCAATTTTTGTAATTACTCATCTTTGTATTTACAAAGTGACGGATGTCTCTTTCTTTGGTTAGATAACGATGCGGTAATCCTAACTCGTACCGTATATGTGTTGCTATTGCCCAGGTTACGAGTTCTGTGTAAGACACAAGAATGCCCAGTTTGTCGAGCCACCGTAGAAGAAGTCTATTTTGTCAAGGAAAACACGCCATTTGGAGAGCTGAAAGAAAAAACGTTTAACTTAAAAGTGAGTACAATTCGAATTACTTTTTGTGGAGTGGCTCTCTGTTTTTAAGTCTAGGGTCTTTTTAAACACTGCTATCAAAGAAACCGTAAGATGTCTGCGGTCAGCTTCGTAGCAATGCCGCCCTCACACGAATGTCGCTTCCGCATTTCGGTATGTTCATCGCTCTGGAAATGCCTTCTTTGTTTAAAATATCTCTGCAGAAGATCTCTCCGTTAAAATCTGGATCTCCAGAGTCGAACAAACACTTGTCTAAAACTGGCCTATGGCGGTAGCGAGATTGGTACCATAAGCCAATTTTGGCTAAGCAAATATAGTTCAACCACAAGAATGATGTTTTCGCTTAGTAAGAACGACATAATGTATTCTTTTTGATAATATTTTTGCAATCATCCTCTCTGTAGGGCTGCTCTTGCATATACAGAATTTTCCCGTATAACTCAAATAGGACGTGTTGCCGATAGGTAACATTCGTGATTGTAAATTGCAAATCAATGTTCTGTCTTGCAGCAAAAACAATTTTCGATTTTCTTCCAAGACGACGAGGTTCAGTTAAAATATGAAGAACTACTTCGGCATAAATGTGAGTATTTTTGTTTTTGCTTTCGTTCACGATTGTAGAAAAAGTGTTTGGTTATGTAAAATGCTAATCATTCTTCTAAACAGAAATCTAAACAGACTTCCTTCCAATGCCGATTGAAGCTTTTTGCCAAACGTCGTAATAAGGTGTACCATGTATAACTCGTTGCGGAGATTTTCAGTAGATCAAAGCTGTCAAACGTTGTTTGATGAAGCGAATTATGTAATCGCTTCGGTAGATACCCCAACATCTACCAGTGACATATATTGGCTGGTACACATATTTTGGAAAGACAAATTGTATTGCATATGTATCGAATATATTTCTAAATGAGATAATCTGTACGCTGTGACGGTTTGTGCTCCTACGTCTAATCCGGTTATAACCCCATTCATTAGGTAAGGAATGTGAACGACGGGCACTGATAGCGGCACGGAGTGGAGAACGACCATCAGCGCTGGAGGTTTTTCCCACCTTTGACGACCTTACTGATCACGTCCTCAAGGAACACCGGCGGCATTTCTGCGCTCTTTGCGTTGAACATCTCAACTTATTCACTTTTGAGCGGCAGGCCTACTCTAAAAACGACCTACGCAGGTTAGCCAGAAATACGGTGCTACAATAATATGACTGTCATTAACTAAAATATTGAAAAATTTGATCTCTTTATGAAAAAGTGGTGCAGTAAAAACGCTATGGGCCTCTATATCTTTTAAAGGGTTTGAAGCATATTCGAATGTTTGGGTGCTTTGACTGGCGAGAAAAGCAAAATCGAACTCCGTGATCTTCACTTGAATTTATTGTAGTTATAATTAGTAAATACTGGTTAAGGTTATCTTTGTCAGTCTATTTTAAAATGGTGGAAACTATTATTTTCTGTCTTGACGCTTTTCTCTTCTTTTAGACATATGATCGAGGGCGATCTCGACGACAAATCGCACAAAGGGCATCCCCGGTGTGACTTCTGTAAGGAGCATTTTCTCGACAAGGACGAGCTGTACCGGCACTTGAAAGTGGAACATTTTACGTGCTTTATATGCAACGCTAGTAGTTCTATTAGTCGCGTGTTCCAATATTACGCCTTTTATGATGACCTCCGGCAACATTTTAAAAGGTACAATAAATGTCGAACTATCGTATCAAAGTTATCCTATGGTAAACAATTTGTTGACCAGATTTGCATTTAGAGTTAGTGTCGAATTAAATTATTTCGATAGAATTAAACTACTTCAATTATTTTCGAGTAAGATTTTTTTGTGCTATACTAAGTAAGAAACATCCTTTATTGCCTTTCAGAAATATATATATAATTTCCGCTTTGCATTACGCCATTTTTGTATCGCTGTGTATGTGCAACATCAGTATTGAGTTAATGTTCGCAATAGACATATCGGCACACAACAGCATTAAACTGGTTGATTTCTGCTCTATATTGCGTACCAGTTCGGTTCGATACTAATCGGTTATACGAAGAAACAATGCGTAAGGAACATTACTTACTCGCGCTTTTTCGATAAACTCAACAATTATAGGAGCCATTACTTTTGTGAGCAAGGAGAGTGCGCCACCGCTCGCTTCGTTGCATTCGCTAGCGAACTTGAACATAAAGCTCATTGCGCTACTGCTCACACGGACCACCTTAGTCGAGAAGAGCAGCGAGCTGCTAGGTAATTCCAGTTTATACGCAAGTTAATGCGCATTACACTCTCGGCTGTAGAAAGATTTTTAGCAAGATACAATATCGGCTAAATAGATCAAGTTTATATATTTTTCCGAAGACTGACCCTGTGCCGTAATTTTGCGCAGTTTTCCAAATATCTGGACGGTACTTGATGGTACATTTCTGTTTACTGAAAGATTTCTTTCAATTCAGGAGTATGAATTTAGATTTTGGAACACTGCCGCATGATCGAGAGTTGATTGGTGCCGACGGCCGAAGTGGTGGTCGAAGAGGACCCCGGGAAGGTGGACGAAGAGACGACAGGTAAAGAACTGATATTTCCTTACGTTATTGGCGTAACGAGAACAAACCTTCCGAATTGAAGCAAATTGTGGGTTTGTGGTTGGCAGGGGAAAACCTAAGTGCGATGTCTGAGCCATGTTTTTGGCCGACCTGGTCTGCCAAAGCTGTGCAACATACAACATGCGCAATTTTGCAATAGAATTCATAACTACATCTTGATAGAATTACTTTCATTTTGATAAGGTTGGTCAACAACAGCTTGACAAAAATGATCTAGCAACTTTTGGAAACTGGGCTGAGGCGCTTGTCCAGAACTGTTCTCTTAATTCGTGTGAAAGTCGGAAGTCGGCAGTTATCCACTGGCTAATTTACTGACGAGTGAGGAGCATATTGTATTACGAATTTCAGGAGAAGACGAGAGGGATCACCTAACGGGAATGGTGTTCCGTATCCTGGCCGAACAATGACGGACGAGTGGGGTAGTGAAGTTCCTGTTATGGATATGAGCTCAACGACAGATTTCCCGTCGTTAGAAGGCGCACCGGCAAGCATTAACCGACCTCTCGTACCAACACCACAGTACGGTCGTAAAATGACTGTACTCCAATCGGTGGAAGAGTTTCCTTCACTTGGACCTCCCACCGAAGCTGAGACACCACTTACTGTACCGATCCGCCGAGCTACGCCGAATTTCAAAAATGCCATCGGCGCTATAAGTAATAGCTCATCGCTTACCAGTGTTCTAGCTAGCTCATCCGCAAATCGGCAGCCCAACCGAGCTGTCCACAGTGCATCTCCAACTATTCAGAAGGTGAGAAAAGGTGAACAGGCGAAACGAACTTAGTGAATAGATTCTGGTGAATAAATGTAGACACAAATCAAGATACTGAGGGACATCATATTACATTGGTCTTACATCAGGTTGTCTTGTAATGTGAATCGTATTCAATAAAGTTGTTCCCATTAGGAGTGAATTTTTTTATACTTATAAAATCGTCGAAATCGGAAAATGCCGCTTTGTAAATTTGTATAATTCAAGACATTATTCTGATTAAGCTACGATTATTTCAGACGTCCACGCCACTAGGTGGTAGCGGCACTTCACGGCAGCATGGACGACCCGCTGTTCGTGTTGGAGGGGACCTTTTCCCGAGTCTTCCAGAACCCGTCCCTAATAACACGTTCGGCAACGTCCTTAAACCACTACCAACGAAAAAGACGAACAGCGGTCGGCCACAGGCCATGCCACAATCGGGGAAAAATGAAAACGGTTTGGCCTTGGCCGGTAGGCTGACGGGTGTTAATACGGGCTGGGCTGCTGTGGCTGCCGGCGGCGTTACAATTAGTCAGAAATTAAATAGCAGCGACAATAGTGGCAACGAAAATAATAAGAAAAATAGGAAGAAAGGGGATTCGACGAAGTCAGGTGCATCGTCCGAGATGAACGGAAATGCAAATCAATCCACGAGTGTACAGCAGCATCTGGTGGATCTGAGGACGATTTTACCTTCATTTTCGGAAATAGAGAACAACAATCAGAAATCTGTGAAAACCAACAATCGACAAACCGAGCCAGAGCGAAAACAGGAATTAACGCCGCAGAAACGGGAATTGAAGGGCGGTGAAAACTTAGATGGGTTTGATTTAAATGTTTGTGGAGCATCTTGGGGGTCAACAGCGATTACTAATAAGCAATCTGAGGCTGAAAAGGTTTGTATTACATAAATGGTGGAGACAACACTAGGTGCATTTATTCACATGCGTGAAAACGCTTATTTTTCCTGAATTTTTCGTCAACTCGTTTTATAATGAGTATGACTATTAAAAAATATTACCTTTTTTATTCCATTCTGTTTACCGTACAGGTGCTGGTAGGTAATCGAATGGAGACTATACTGGTTAAACGCTCTCTATATTTTTCTGTTTTTCAGGCGCCAAGACCACCGACACAGCCACGAGGTCTTAGAAAAGATGAAGATTTTCCAACGCTTGGACCCGCACAAGCAAAAGACGCAACGACAACGGGCATTCGATACATGAAACCCAAATACAAAGGACTTAAGGTAAATGACGCAAATTTTTTCATAAAGTTCGTTGGCACGTGTATGAAACAGTATGGGTTTTAGTTACAAAGGCACTATTTTTTAAAGTAATTTCTGTAAGAACTTTCACGGTAGCCACTACGCGAGGAATGACACGTAGTGGATACATCACTACTAAATACCTAGTTGGAAAAAGTTTCGTTCTCAATATTAAATTAAATGCGTTTCAGCCGGGAGAAGCCGTTGCGGATATGAAGAGACTGGAAGGTGCCTTTATCCAACCGCCATTTTACTCTAAACGAAATACTGAGTTCATGGGTAAGCAGCACGTGTTATCTATAT